ATGTACAGTTGGCAGCAGAACCAGTGTTCCAAGCTGTTAAAGAAGCCAAGGATTAGATAAGATTTATAGACACCCAATGCAAGTAAGAGAGCTAAAAATGGAATCTGCAGATTTCTTTCCAATGCTTCATACATACACAGACAGGATATATCTTTGCATAAATTGCTCCACTTTGCATGGGCAAATCACAGGACAAATGGTTCTCTCATCATTGGAGGGGTTGCCCTTCTTTTTAAATTTAGAAGTGTGTGACACCCGTTTTGCACAGTCACATACACAGCTCCAGATGGCTTAAGTAAAATGTCGTGTGGGAGGAAAGGAAAACCAGAGGTTCAGGTGCTTTCTTGCCCATCTTACAATTATAAGCACCGCTCTTTGCTTCACTATGTAGCCCACTTTATTACTTTTGAAGATCTATTAATGTCTTAAAAACACTGTGCTTATCATTTTAGCTGTTATATGACTTCAATATTACGAACACCATTTCCTCAGCACCTACTTTCATTTTCATTTAAATCTTTATAATTTGATCTCTTGTAATATTTGGAAAAAAATATTTTGCAAATACTCTGTGTATGTGTGGCTCTGAGAAAATGTGAAGAGACTAATTTCTAATTTATGCTTCATCCTCCAGTGTTGTAAGTCTTTGGTAACCTGTTCGTGTTCCAGTACAAGTTTCTAGACTAGATGGTACATAGGAAATCACTCTAAGGTTAAGTGTCCATTGGACAGTGAAATGTAGGGAAAATATTACTTATGTAGTTGCTCAGAACACTTAACTGCTTGTTGCTGTCAATCTTGGAGCTGTTCATCTGACACTTATTGGTACACTTTGGTTCTAGAATCAAGTACAATATCATAAGATGGAAATCATATTTAGATAATTCAATAGTGGTGAGAAAATGACACAAATCTGATGCTGGATATAGGGAAGCTCATCTCATATTCACAGAAGACTTGTAATGGTCTGTAGCCATGGTCTACATTCCATGAAATTGGCACTTATTCATGGTTAGAGCCTCCTGACTGTGGAGTAGAATCAATAGCATTGGACAATTGATTGCTGGGTTTTCCAACAAAAAAACACAGTTGATATAAAGGCTTTTCATCAAATACTGTGTTTAAAGGTCAATATGTGGTAACAAAGATCCAGAAATGGCTAGACTTTTGTAAATTGAATACAACTCAATTGACATCCTCGATTTTCATAGGGATATATAAGCAAGATTCAGGTTTTTCTCTTCTCCATGTTTTGTGGATTTCTCAAATGGTGGCTCCAAACAGGTACCTATTCTTACCCAGCCAATAACAGTAAAGTGAAAGAAACACTGTAATAAGAATGTGATTTACAATGACTTTTCCCCTCAGGTTCCATATCAGAAGCATTTTGACTTTTTATGATGACCTTCTACCAGTGAAACATTGTCATTCATAAAGCATGTAGTGGTTCTTCTTTAGTTCTGGATCACTGATAACAATAGTTAAAAGCCATAATCTCCCCTAACACTGCTGCTGAAATTTTTATCTGTTAGGCTCAGATATAGTTTCTCAGTCAGTATGTTTAATAGCAACCGTGGTTTACTTTGGAAACATTAAAATATTACATTTATGTGATAGAAATAAAATTTTAAAATACCAGATTAACTGTATAGAAAGGCTTAGATTTTTGGTTTAAAAGCACTCAATACTGCTTTGAGGCAGTGCATTATCTAGTCCTTATTTTACTTCAAGCCCCCGTTTCCCATAACACATACAGTTTCAAAATACTGTTTTTAAAAATACTGCTATAATGTCAAAAGGACACACATTCAAAGGTAAGAGAGAAATAAACATGAGTTCTACCAGGGCCAGACACAAAAGTTATGTTGAAGACTGCCTTAAAGACCATAATAAACAAATACTTCGAGATTTTAAATAATGTGAAAGACATTGCTAAAATGTCATTTCTGTTTGTAGACTTTAAAATTTGGCATAGTTAAAGAGGAGGAAAATCACTTTCTCCAACATTAAGCATGGCCTCCGTTGAAATGAATTATGTTTATTTCACTTGCTAAGAGAAAACTTGGAGTTGGTTCCACTTTGAGAAATAAACCTATGCCTTATTTGTAAGCTAGTGTTAGATCTCTTTCAGAGAAATGTGGGTTCTTACTATGATGGTGCTGAAACTTGTACCTTGTGATGAGATAAAATGTTTGGTCAATGAAATGTTACTTGAGAGACATTCAGTGCCTTTTCAGACAAGCCACCTGAAAAATATCAATCAAATTTAGTAGTTTAAAACAGTGTTTCTGTAGAAAAACAAAAATCACACAGAGAGCAGCTGGAGGAAAATTACCCCAACAATGTGGCATTCTGGTGCATTTGTTATCTCACAGGAAATGTAGTTCTCCTGTGAATGCTGCACATAGGATCCTTTTTTTCAGATTCATTATATGGGTAACTTCAGACTCAGTAATCTCTAGGTCACTCATTTCAATTACCACAGCTTTCTGATACAGTTTTCACCTAAGTCAGATTGAATTTGGATAAAATTGGGAGAAGTGCATCATACAAATGGTAATGTCACCAGGACAATACTACATTAACCCCTCAACCTTCTTATCCTCCAGTCACACCGAGAAAACACGAAGGGTTTTAGGAGATGTACAACCAACTTTTGCAAATATAGGGAATCCGTTTAATGGGGGTTTAGTGGAGAAGAGACTTGAGTATGTATAAGCCCATAGTGCAAGGGCCTTTTCTTTCTTCCTGTTTACCTCTTAAATCAGAGTCTTCTATATTGCTGTGATGAGAGATTGATATTATAATCCTTAGAACTCAGTTTTGGATCACATTAAGTATTTTCTTTACACAGGACAGATTTTAGTGTCACCAATGTATTTCTGTCACTAATGCAATCTAACAATTTATAGGAGACTAAAATCACTGGCAGATCACATCAGCATGCAGATACAGCACAGCCAATAACTGTAGGGTCCTATTGTGCAGGGATGTGATACTTTGAGAGTGTAGCTATTCAACAGGTTCAACAAGAAACCCCATGTGCGTCACCAGTGTATTTCCAATAATTGTACAGAGGCTGTATAGGATGTCAATTGGGACTAAATAATGTCCAATTATAACAGTAACACACGCTTATAAGGTGTCTATTTCTTAGCCCTATGTGCTTTTTAAAATATACGTATGTTTGTTGTAGCAAATATATGTAACACAGCGTTACCATTTTGACAGTTTACTTTTTATTAGCATATGTTTGTAGTGCCTTATGACTGTAATTATCATGGGAGTTGGTTCATGTACCATTTTTAAGCATATATTTAGGTGGCATCAGAATATTCACATCATCATGCAACCATCATCATTACCATCCATCCAGAGCATATTTTCTTCTTTCAAAATTGAGGCTCTTTACACATTAAACACCAGTTCCACATGTTGCCTCTCTCGGCCTCTGGTAACCCCATTCTATTCTCTGTCTCTATCTGTTTGGATATTCTGAGTACTTCATGTTAGTGGAGTCGTACAGTATGCATCCTTTTGTGATTGGCTTATTTAACTTAACAAAATGTCTTCAAGTTTCACCCATATTGTAGTGTGGGCCATAATTTCCTTTTCAAGCTTGAATACTAATATTCCACTGTATATCTATATTACAATTTATTTATAGGTCCATCTACCCATCAACAATTAGGTTGTTTCTAACAAACATTCTTTTTATATATTCACATTTAAATTTCTCACAATGATGTGGTGATATAGGCCTATTGATTACCCATATTTTTATGATAAGAAAACAAAAAACAGGTTACATTTTTCTATATCAAGGACACCCCAAAGCCAGCATTATATCCCCCACCATTTAAGTAGATCCAGAGTTCCTGCTAATAAACACTGTGACATCCATCTCCCTTTCAAATGATTTAAGAATCTAAATAAAGCATGTACTAATTAGAAAATATTTCATATAATACTCTGGGTCAGGTTTCTGACTTTATTGTGTAGATTCTAAAAGTTTCACGGAGCCAGGAAAAGTAGACACTGGTAGTTCCAGTTCAAGGAGGCTGAGGCAAGGGGGTTGCAAACTCAAGCCTTCGCCTGTGACTTAGCAACTTAGGGAAACTCTGATTCAAAATAAAAAGTAAAAGGGGCTGAGAATGAAGCTCACAGTGAAGGTCCCTAGTTCAATTTCTAGTATTACCAAAGAAAAGAAACATGCCAAAAAACAGTTGAAAAACTGGACCCTACAACAGCTAATTTATAAGGGATCTCATTTCTTCAAAATAAAAAATTAGTGCTGTTCTATGACTGACACCACTCAGGCTAAATTCATCTAGCTGATCCTCCTCTGCAGGGCATGAGGGTGTAGTGGCATGGTTATAACATCCCCATTTTATAGAAAGGGTAATTGAAGCTTGGAGTGGTACATTACAGTGCATGCAAAACATTCTTAGAACGCCTGAAAATAATACGCAAATTTTTGTCAAGAAGTGATCCAGCCATTGCTAGCATCAATTCCTGCTGTAGCTCCTGTGAATATATCTGAAAACTGGGAATGAAATTGCTTCATAGAACAATGTCAAAGATGTGGAAGGTGGATAGGTTTTGCAGTGCAACGCTGGTATGTACAAATCAAGTTTCTCAGAGCCGAGACACCTGTGAGAACGGCTTCTTTTTAACAAAGACACAAAGAGTAGATTCATGTACCCAAACCAGAGTTAGGAGGATCTCGAGGCAATGAACCTTCCTTATCCGAGTCCTGTTTCTGCCTTCTCCCTTCCTTCCACCAGTGTGATGTTTTGTCCCTTTCAGGGGTAGCCCAGGGTCTCTAAAATCAAACGACCCTCTCCAAACATCAACACACGATCCAGTAGGAAAAGAATCTTAATGAGGGCTTTCATGTCCAGCAAAGCTATCGTGGACAGACCTAGGAGCCACCACTCGTCCGTCCACGGTTCAGGGTTGGCGAGGACAGGGTGCTGACCCGCTCTCCTTTCTTGCAGAGCTCCCGGACAGCGCGCTCCGAGGAGGACCGCGACGGCCTCTGGGACGCCTGGGGCCCCTGGAGCGAGTGTTCCCGCACCTGCGGGGGAGGCGCCTCCTACTCCCTGCGAAGATGTCTCAGCAGCAAGTAAGTCCTGTGCCCGCTGCTGGGGGCTCTGCGAGCACAGTCTGTTTGCGGTGGATCTCTGTGTTTGCATTAGGCACCCTATTCTGAGGCTCACAACCTAGATGAAGGAGAAGTAAAGGAAGGTACAGAGAACTCATTTGGAGTATTTTATTTTACATCCATCTCCAGCTATGCTTTTCTGTACTCTCGCTTTGTGGGAAACAATTTAGAATTCACTTTATTTTCCAAATTTAATTTTTGAGCCAACCTGAGAATTTTATTATTTGAAATTGTTCTAGAACCATGAACCTTTTGTATCATCTTAACAATTACAGCGACAATGATTGCACAATATCGTCATTAATAGCAAATCGAATGTATGTTGTATTTCCAGTGTTATCAAGTACTTTACAAATAAATGATGCATTGGTTTAATTTTATAGATGTTCTCATAGCTAGAAGTTTCCTAAGGTTATTCAGTGCATTGAATAATAAATTTTCAGTCTAACAAGTTTAGAAGAACAGAAGCTTCAAGGGGATGAATAATGGAGGGACAAAAGAGGGAAGGGTAGGGGTGACTTGTAAGAGAGAACCAAAGCGCCCTGAAGTCTTAAAATGGAAAGTTGTTGCTAAACGTAATAATAATTCAAAACTGCTTTTTGAGTTGTGTGGTCTGTGACTAGATTTGTCTCCAAACTATAAAATATAATGCATCATGGAAATATTTTTTAATGAAAAATTTTATTTGACAGTGAAAAGTGTTAAAGGCAGCAAAATGGAGTTTGATTGAAATCACTGTATATTATAAAACATGAAACAGAAGAAGAAAAAATATGCATCTGCTGATTCTCCTAGACATTTTATAAACAAACAGCAGAAAGTCATGAGATACAAGTTCAGGAAGAGATCAGCTTACTTTAATAACACTGAGAATTTCTTGAAATCAGGTCTAAGTCTTATTCTTTTATGTTTCTCTGCACAGGATTGACAAAGATTTTAACAGATTTAGGGATTTTATAAATGGTTCTTCATTAAATCTGCTGAGGACTAGAGATTGTTTTGGTTCCAAACAGGTCTCACTGGAAATATTATATCCTAAGAAACATAGCCAACAGACATATCTTGCAAGATACCAGACTGGTTCTGGCAGTTGGGCATTGTAGTGTTTGAGTCTGCATTGAATCCTCCTTTAACACTAGACTCTTGAAATGATAAGGAGAAAATAGAATTTTTCTCCTTATGATTTAGCTGTTGCATTAATCCTAAACACAATAAACAAAAACCTGAATCTGCAATACATGATACTACTTGATGATAACGTAACATAATTAGCATATACCAGCAAAGCCAAACACATTTAGAATGTTCCTGCTACCTGGTTTCCCAAATTAGCAACTTTGGACATTCTGTGGGAATGGATGAAAATGGATCACACAAAACTAGTGAGAAATGTATGGCGATTTTCATATTGTTTCCTTGAATGTATGAATGCTACATTGTATTAGAATATTTTGCTGAGTGAGAGGGGAAAAAAACTTAAAAATAAATTTAAACCACAAATGCAAATCTGTAATTCAGAAAATAATCAAATATTGATGCTGTGTAAAATTTATAAATACCAGTTTTGTCCTCTAGTAAAGTTAGGCTCCCATTGCTAGAATTTGATTAAAATACCACAGAATAAGTCAGTTGTCCTCTATTTAGAATGTATTTCCAATACTTTGTAATACATTAAAAATGTAGAATGTAAAGTCTTAAATTATAGACACGTGGAAGATACATATAAGCATTAGAAAAACATACTCAGTAAACACATACCACTCAGTAAACATATACCACCTTCCTTCTTTAGGAATTTGAAGAGCAAAAGGACCCCCAAATAGCTGTTTCCAAATTTGACAAGACTATGAAAATGGGTCTTGGTTTTCAGAAAGCTAGTGATTCATGTAGACCCGTGCATTGTCCAGACATGGAGGGTGGGGAATATAGCTCGGTGGTAGAGCACTTTCCTTGTATTTGTGAGGCCCTGAGTTTGACTCCTTGCACAACAATAAATAAATAAACAACACATGGACATAATTTAAACTCTAAAAGAATTCTAGTCATTCTTTAGCAAATTACAACTTGTCACCATTATGAAACCCTGGAGCAATCTGAGTAAACATGAAATGTATATTTTTTTAAATCACAAAAGCACTGTTTGTACATGTCTTATCATATATTTTGACACTGTTCGTCATTAGGGGCCTTGTTGTCACAATTAGCTGAACTGTGCCACTTGGAACCTTCTGTAGACAGATGACACAGCTAGACGTTGACTCAGCCATGCAGTCCTTGATGCTGGTGGACTTCCTGGGAACAGGATCTAGTGATGGGACTCCATTAGCTCATTAGACTCTAATGACTTACATCTTCCGGCTATTGGGCTGAGTTATTATCCGTGGAATTGTATTTGGCTGTACAATCTTCATCTCCATGGGAGTGTAAAAAACCACAGGGACTAAGGAAATGCTCCTGTAATAATACCACATAAATATGCCGTGCAGTTGGATTCAGAAATGTTGTAATGCTGACTTTTAGAAAACCTTACATCCTATTTAAAGTACACATTTATTTTGAGAAAGCACTTGATAATTTAGCCACCAAATAAACTATTATAGAACAGCTTGGATAATGTCTGTTATGATTTAAGAACTTTGTATATATTGTGCTTTTCAAAATGAGACGTGTGTACACATGCAGATCTGCAGTGAGCTGTGGCAGGGAGCTCACGCTGACAGCATCGTCTGTGGATGCTGTTTGGGCCCCCTTATCCTGGCAGGCCCCTTCATAATCAAAATTCAGTTTTCTTCACTGTGAAGTTATTATGCTTGGAATCAGAGATTCCCAAAGTTTATGTGTCTCTTTGGCTTTCTCTTCCTGCCACTTGGTATCACTTGACAAGTTTTATAAATGGGATGTAATCTCTGCATTTTTTTTTTCTTTTGTGTGAGGTAAAATTCCCCTTTGGTACCTAATGAGAATGAAACTCATTTGGGCAAATTCAGTTCCTCTCCTTGCGTAGCTTGAGTGTATCTGATTGGTATAAATCTGCTCAGGATCTTAGAAGGAAGCTTAATCATTGTTTTTTAAGTTGTCAAGCTCCTAAGAAGTATTTGTTTCTTTGGTATTTGTCTTGGAATCAAGATCTTCTTTCACAATTAACATCAGTTCCTCAGGTTACAGCCTCATGCTTCAAAATGCTAAACTTAGAGCAGTTAGAGTTAATGGAAAGACCTAGCCTCAAAATGTTTAGTTATATTGTTGGGTATAAAACTTAAAATTTAATTTTCATCGAAGTACATAACTCTGAACAGTAAGAAATATTGAACACATATACATATGAAACAAAATATAATAATAAAATACTAACAGTTTCTCATCAATACATGACTGTTATTAAATCAGGGCTTATATACGGACTTGGGTATGAATCCAGACTGAGTTTGAACATATTTAAATCTTGTACTTTTGAAATGGGTATATTCTAAAGTCTGTGTTCAGCTTGAAGACCTAAAATCAATCTGACTTTTAAAAATTTTTTCTAGTTCCTTTCTCCACTAGTAGCACCATCTATCCTAGAACCAGATAGAATCCGTCCCTTTGCTCTCCTTAGATCCCTAGTGTTCATGGAAGCTCTCCTCAGCCTGTTGTTTATCTAGTGCTGCAGTAATGCTGTGTAATAACTTCTTAGTTTCTCTGTAAAGCCAGATAAGGGATAATGGTTCAGCTAAGCAGTTCTGGTGACCTTGGCTGGGCTTGATCACGTATTGGGGGTTGACCAGCTGTTGGCAGAACCAGGCTGGTGTCTTTTGGGCCCACTGAGGCAACTCACTTATCCTCCATTTGTCCCTCATCTTCCAGCGGGCTAAACTAGGCCAGTTCCCCCAGTGGCAGCAAAGGTGTAAGAGAGAGCCATTCACTGAGCTGAGCTTCTCTGTCATATTTGCTGCTATCCTATTGGCAAACCAAGCCAGCAGCCAAACCGAGAGTCAGAGTTGGAGAGTGAAAATGTTCCATGGAAAAGCATGAGATATACAGAAGGTAAAAAAGTGGGACCATTATTGTAATCTACCATGGCTTTCTTATTTATCTTTAATGGGTAATGAAATTAATGGATTTTACCTCATCTCTCTATTCAAGATTTAGACATCTGAATTCAATTCAGTTACCTTACACTTTTGGAAAATATCAGAGGTTCTGAATGTATAAATCCCTAGAGGCCCCACTGGTAACTGGAATATGGTTGTAGTCTAATGGTAAGCATCCAAATATAGCCCAAATAAATTCCATCCACCTGTGAGTTTACGTGCCAGACCAATTTTGTGAACTCGCCAGTTATTTTGAGGTCTGATTTTTAAACCTATTGGCTAATAATTATTTCATTCCCAAACTATAAGAATGCACAGGGAGCTCAATTCCATTTATGGAATAGATGTCAGCCTTTCAGCTTCTGGAATTAGTTGTGCTTTGTGATGGATTCAGAGCTTGTAAGGAGGCTTGTTTAACCTTCCAGTTAGAGAATATTCTGAGTTATCTTTTGAAAGTTACAGGGAAAAAAATCAGTGGAGGTAAGCAGAATGAAAAGACACAAAAGCATTAAATACAAATCCTTCATTCTGCTTGATATTGAGGTGGAAGAGGGAGCCTTGTCCCAGGAAGGCAGAGCAGAATTCTTTCCTGGACTTCTCCCATGTCCAATTTCTAAGGCTTACAGAAAGTAGGCAATGTTCAGTTTTCCCAACACACAGTATAGGCGCACTGATAATTTCCTTTATCTGCAACCCTGATTTAAGCAACACTGGAAGACACTGTAAAAACATCTGTAACCTTTATGAAATTCTTTTTTTTTTTTGTCTTTTTCTTTTTTATTGGTACCGGGGATCAAATTCACGACTGCCTGCTTGCAAGGCAGGCGCTTATGCCACTGAGCTAAATCCCCAGCCCCTAACCTTTATGAAATTCTATAAGGCTATTTTCTG